AACTGCTTTTATATATTTATTTAACAATCAAAAGATCCATATTACAAGTTTTCTTGTACTTCTGGTCTTCCTAGTCTGTGAATTTCTTTTATTTATTTATTTGTTTATTTTTTATTGGAACATAGCTGGGTGTACATATCCATAGGGTACAGAGCTGAATATCAATACCTGTATGCAATATATGATGCTCAAATCAGGATAATTAGTATATTCAACATTATACAATGTAATTGATTTTTGTGGTCCTCTACCAATTCCTCCCTTAGTCCCCTCCCCCTCCCATTTTTCCACCTCTGGTAACTTCAGTTCTCTTCTCTTCTTTTGAGAGTTTAATGTATTATTGTATTGTTGTATCTTGCCTTCTGTTCTTATTTTATTTTTTAGCTCCTCTAATGTGACTTCTTTTATATCTAAATGGTATTTTTCCAACTCCCTTCCCAGACACTGATTCCTCTGAGAACCAGATCAAAACAGGACAGAAAAGGAAAGTGGAATTCACTCAGAATCTTTTCATCCAGTGAGCTTGGCTTCTTTTCGGGACTGTGCATAGTTACAGAGCCAGAGGGAGTTTAACAGAAATTTGAACAGGGAGGAGAAAGTAATTACGAAGGGAACTCATTAGATGGGAATCTCCAGTGGTGAAACAAAAGACCTAAAACCACAGAGATGCTTGCCCAGGTATAGCTCGCAGAGGAAGTGGTGGTATTCAATTTCAATTAAAACAAATCTGTTCTGAGAATCTCCTTGGCCCCCTTGGGGGTGCAAGAAAAGCATCTGATTCAGGGCCTGAGCTGGAGAAGTCCAAGCACGTGATCTGAGGACAAGTTTGTTTGTTTGTTTGTCTTCCTCTCCCCCAAAGCAAGCAGAGATGGAATTATCACTGGGTCTGGAGAAGCTGGGGAAGCCTGATGGCAGGGCATGGGATTCTTGTCCAGAGCATAGAAGTGGAGCATTCTAGGCATTTGGAATAGCTTGAGGAGCTGCATAGGGGAAGAAAGTGCAAGGCACAAGGAACAGTAAAGACATCAAAGTCAGGCTTGCGGAGCAGGAGGCAGGGATGTGGGACAGATGCACCTCAGTGTCTCTCTGCCATGCCTACAGACATGAGCAATTAGCAGACAGAGCTAATTGATTCCGGAACATTCCTGCTGCCTATATATTAGAGTCCTTCACAAGACAGTGTACAGATGCTACCACCATTTGATCAGAGTTGGCATAGGATGTGAACTCAATCTACTGTTTGAGAAATGCACAGAAATAAGAATAAATTGTACAGGTAACATGTTGTCCAGTTCTGAACGTTATAGATTTGCCTCTGGCCACAAGGCTGAATGACCCATTTATACCAGGAGAATCAGTGTATGTGTGTATCAGGATATACATAGAGCCGCTGCTGCCCGTGTGGGTGTGTGTGCATCATTAAAGAAAGAAAAAATGTTCCAGTAGGATTCTTAATAGAAAATTACTTCTTTAATGAAAACAATACTTTGGGGAAAAAAATCAGTACAGCCAGCCAAAATCAGTGTAGCCAATTTATCAAAATGGAATGCTATGCTAGAGTCTGAGAGATCCCAAAGCTAAAAATTTCTCCAGGGCAAAGACTGTATTGTAAATATTCTTCTGGTGCTTTATAATGGTTTGCATACCGCTGGATACATATGTTTGTTGTCTTGAATAGTTGTAGTAAGGATAAAATTTCTTGTATTTGTTGCAGGAAAAAATACTAGTGAGTAAGGTTCAAGGATAAGAAGTTCTGATGTAAATCCTGGAATGGGCATACTCTGCCATTGCTGTATATGAAAATCTCATCTATTGTAGAATGTACTGTGTATCTGTTAGCCGAATTAACTCTATTCCTAATATACCACTGGGACTCATTGTCACCTACGTTTAAATCCCTAAATTCCTTTCCTTAAAATAAAACGTTTAGAAGTACATTTTGAAAACAAACTAGGATATATGTGTGTTTGAATGTATATACTAGGGTACTTCAAAAAGTTCATAGATTCATGTCATCTTTAGTATTATTTTTCTATGAACTTCTTGAAGTACCTCATATGTGTTTATTTACAGATTTTGCACTGCTGTATTTTGTAGATAGATCTTTACTGAGCAACAATATAGATCAGTGGTTCTTAAATTATAAGGAGTCATCTAGGTGTCCTTTAAGAATGCTGCTACCATTTGATCATTTAAAAATGTCGATCTGACTCAGTAGGTCCACGGTGGGATCTGAGATTTGCCTTTCTAATAATCTCCCACGTGGTGTCAATGCTGCTGGTCCCTGACCCACACTTTGACTGCCCAGGACTTAGATTATGGTTAGGAAGTATCAGGACAAGCAAACCTGGGTACAAATCTACTTTCCACTCTCTGTGTGTCTTTAGACAAGTAAACTAACTTCTCTGAGCCTCAGTTTTGACATCTTTAATATGATTACAGTACAACTTATCTCATTGGGTTGTGGTATCATTGTGATAAGACTATGTCAGTAGATGATGTCTATGAAGCACTGGGTTTCCTATATGTCAATGATCTGACACATACATCACTGTCTCTATCTCAAACTAAATGTTGCTAAACAGCAGGACCTATGTCTGATTTAATGGTATGGAAAAGTGCCTGGAGCACAGCACCTAGAAGGATAATGACAGCGTGGTGGAGTAGGATGACCAATGCGTTAGGAATCAGAAGGCTTGGATTTTAGTCATGGCTAATATTCGGGAGGCTCGGATAAGATCATGTATGTGAAGACATTTTGAAAACTGCAAATCGCTGTATGCACGAGTGTCCAAGTACCAAAAAAGTTGGTGGAGAAAACCTGGGCACAATGTGGTGCCGCTATGATGACAGTGGCTTACGCTTGTGCTTTCCAAAGCACTTCCATATGCCTGATCTCTATCTACCATTGCTCCCTATTTAATACTCACAGCAGACCAGACTGCCCAGGGAACCAAAGCTGATAAAACTCTTTTTACTGCAGACATGAAAACTGAGGCAAAGAGGTTAAGTGACAAGGGCAAGTAAAAATCATGAGTGAGTCCAACGCTGTCAATTTATAGATGAGGAATGAGGCTTGTCTCAAAGACTGAGTGTTGACCCTCAACCTCTTCCCAGTCTCCTCAGAGAAAAGACACAGAGAATCCATCACAGAAAATGTTACAGAAACCAAAGTTGAAGAAGTGGACCGAACTGCACAATCCGGTGGTTACGGACACGCATTCTGGCCTTAGACTCCACCTTTCCTATTGACTGGCTGACCTTCAGTGAGCGACTTCAGCTCTCTGTGCCTCAGTTTCCTGATTTGTGAAAATGGAATGCTAACAGTACCCAGCTCATCAGGCTGTCAGGGGGATTAAATGAGTCCGTATTTGAAAACCCCTCACTTAGAATGGTGCCTGGCATATGGTAAGTGCCTCACGAATGTTAGTTCAATAAAAGACATTCCTTGGCCCTGGAGAGAGGAACAGCACTGTCCCTCCCTTCCATCCCCTTTGCGCTCTCCTAGATATTGTAAGATGTGGGTAGCTCTTCTACAAGGCTTGCATAAAAAGAAAGAAAAGCAG